TTGAGCAGTCGAGAAGGCTGAGAAATTGACATTTTAAGGGTTCTGAGAGATTTAGATTTCAGGAGTTCTAAGAAATTTGGTTTTCGGAAACACTGAAAGATTTGGATTTCAAGGATCCTGAGATTTGGTGTCTAATTCTGAAAGGTTTGATGTAGATTTCAGGGATTCTAAGAAATTTGGATTTCAAGGGTCCTGAGAGACTTGGTGCCTAATTATAAAGGAGTAGATGTTTGATTCTGAAAGATTTGATGTAGATTTCAGGGGTTCTAAGAAATTTAGATTTCAGAGACCCTGAGAAATTTGGGTTTCAAGGATCCTGGGAGATTTGGTGTCTAATTCTAAAGAAGCAGATGTCTGATTCTGAAAGATTTGATGTTTCCGATGTTCGATAAAAAGGATTTAAGTGAAAAATATATGATTCCAAGGCGTGATTCTATAAGAACAGAAAATATTTAAAAATATAGTGTAAGCTTCAGTTGAGTTCGTTGGTGTCAGGGATCCAGCAACTTACTTGATTTTTGCCAGCAACGACGATGACATGGAACACCCTCGTGCGTTCACGTTTTACCATTTGCCATCTTTAAAGATATTTGGCAGCTACTGGCACAACTAAGAATACCGTCTCTTGTTGGAGTTTTATTTAGGTCAATGCGACTGTTCGTTTCCAAAGATACCGCTGCTCATTGTTACTTCTCAGTTCTTTTCAGAGATACAAACTTTCAATTTCACTTCGCCTATTCGATACTCGACTTAGAAATTCCAAGTTCTTTAATTATCAGAGTTCGACCGCTTCCTCTTCTCGATCATTATTAAGTTTTCATTGGGTCCACGTGGTAAATAGAAGCAATCAAAGCGGAACGAGGGAGAATGGTCAGAAATCAGTCTTAATGAATATTAATGACTTGGTGGGTTCGCTAATTTAGCTACCATCGAGGAAAAGACTCCAGACGGGCTCCTAGGCGCTTCTGTCGGGCATCGTTGTTGTAAAAATATGAGAAATCGCGTACGTTTTCTTATCAGTTGGCAGATGTTGGGAAAGAACGGTGAATCGTTTTAAGCAACGGTGTACGCACGCATAAATTACGGTGGAGGGTTAAAATTAGGCGCAACTTGTAAGCTTTTAGTGTTATCTTCACCGCGAATTCTATTTAGGTCGGGTCTTATCGCTCACCAGTTTTGATAAGGTCTAAGAATCAATGAAAGTCACCTTGGTCGTCATCAAGCAATTCATCGCTGTGTCACGCCTTATATATTTTTTAATACGGCTGAATTTGTTTCAACAGTTGTAATTTGCATTCATAAAGTTGAGGGTAACCTTGAAGTGCTGCAAACTTAGATCGACACACATTAAACGTCTGCACGTGTTATCTTATCAATCAAACATGCCACTATTTTTGTACTTCGCGTGCTCTAAATAAATTAGATAAGAGAGAAGATTATACTTCATATGATTCAACAAATCTTGGGTGTCAAAAAACGATGAAAACTTACTCAGGCTCCAATGATAGGGATGTCTATACTGGGGACTTTATGCATTATTATATTCTATAGGTTGTCCAGAAAGTTCGTGGCAATTTTTAAGAAAACTTCAAAGGCACATTTAAATTGTAATATACATTTATTTATATATGTATTTATTGAATTACATAAGTACCATTTTGTTCCACAACCTTTCCACTTTTTAAGAGATGTACATGTATATGTTATTTGTTGTCAGCCATTTCGACATATTCAGACCTGCACCAGTTATCAAAAATCGGCATGGACTTTCCAGACAACCCAATACGATTTATATAATAATATTGTTATTTCGTTCTGCATAAATACACATACCTTTTGGTTACATTCACTATGTATTTATCATATTAATTTACATTATAAATACCTAAAATCCGCAGAGTAACGATGACCATAAATAGAGGATACCGCTACTCACGAGCCAACATCAGTCTGAATTTCTGATCATGTCAAACAACATGTATGTAGAGACAGTTCCCGAAGAGTTAATGATTCAAGCCTCGTACGATCACAGATGAAAGATATCGATAGCCGCGAGTATCAGCCTGAACTTTTGATCACGTCAAAACACAACGTACACGAGGTACTCGAAGATGTTCGTGACTCCCTGGACGGACAGTCTCGTTCTACTGAAAGAATCAATCGCGTCCGGCACGCACCTAACACTTCTACTCGAATCTATCCATCGATGCATCTCTCGTGCATTCCTTTTACGGGGCTCCTCCAGCCGCGAGGAGGCTGGCATTCCAGAGGCCACGTTTACGACTCATTTCATTATTTTCGTGCTCGGCGAGTTCTAGCTTTCTCTCTTTATCTCGGCTGATAAACGAGGCTGCCTAGGCACCGGCGTATGTTGGCGTAGGTCGCGCACAGATAAGCCGTGATTACGAACGCGTAGGCGTTTCGTACTGTCGCGATAAGATCGATGAAATGGCCCGATAAGATCGATAGGAAGATCCACTCCTTAATAGCGGGAACCGAGGGCGCGCATAATTTAATAATATTGCATCCCGTCGCTGTGATTTACGATCGCCCGACGACACATAAAATCGCAGTGCTGATTTCTTTCTTTTTTTTTTCTTTTTTCTTTTTTCGGCTTCGCTGCCGTGCCAGTTTCGTAACGCGTTTGTTTCGTTTTATCATTATTATTCGTGCGCGAGAATGATCGTTATTAAGACGGATTTCCAACGTTTGCAATCATTGTAACCGAAAGTAAACAGTTGCATCGATACACTTTTGTTGACGGTAGGTTTGTCAAAGGCTCTTGGCCAGGGAAATTTTCCAGCGGGAATATTTTCCAAGCATTCGGGGGAATGAAAATTTGTTGGCACGAAGCCTGGAGAGTTTTGGAGCGCGAGCTAAAGTTTCACGTTCGGTTAGTTCCTGAACCTGCGATCTGTGTCGTGCAGTAGAATAGGTCATCTTCGTTCAGTGCGTGGCACATTTTATTCTAAATGAGGTGTAAAAATTCGAAATTAATTCTGTACCCTTTCTTCTCTTGTATGAACCGTTCGCTGCACAAATCGATTAACTCCACTTTTTGAAAAATCTTCTCGAAGTGTCCAAGCATTTGGTATAGTCATAACTTTTTACATTTATAATAACTTTCCTGAATAATAAAGATTAATACCATTAAACGACAAAATTTTGTTGGCCATTGAATAATAAATGATTTATTTCAGAGGCCAATTTAATCGCATTTCTCAACTTTTTGTTTTATGGAGTTAATCGATTTATGCAATGAACGGCTCGTATAATGTTCAACGTTCATCCGTGTTCTAAAATGAATACTCTGAGTATTCTAACAAATATAACTGGAATTTCTATTCTTTATTTAGAATACAATGTTCCCTGTTCAGCGTTCGTATTAATCAGTGTTGAAACATTTGGGTCCTGCACTTTCCCCTGGGGAGACAACGTACGTTTAGAAAAGAGACTCGAGAGGTTAATATTCCTCCGTTCCCAACAATTGTTTTTCACGATTTCTCCGTTCTCTACTACCTCTACAATATTAGTATCGGAATCAACGTCGTTGGCCGATTATGCCAGCCGTCAGGACGATATGTCGAACCGAAGAGAATGCAAGAGAACTTATCAGTCTTGCGAGCAGTTGCTATGGAAGGGGTCCCCGGAGTCACCTACCAGCTCGACCAGTCGGAATTTGCCATGTCTCGTTTATTAATAACTAGCTAAAGTACCAATACCTCGAAGGGGATTATAATATGTAACCAATTGCAGGAGAATGTTGCCGAACAGAATCTTCTCTTGTACCGAAATAGGACTCGAGATTAGCTTGTAAAACAGCGATTAGACGAACACCCTTTTACTTCGCTTCCTGTGAGACGCATCATCTCTGTGTGAACCTATATTTCGATGTGTCCGTAGCGAATTACGTCGTTAAATAAAGATGAAGCGAAATCAATGAGTCTTCCTCTTGATTCGTCTGCAGATTACTTGTTTGCGAAGTTTATTGCACTTGGATGGCATGAATCGTTTTTTGAGATTGATGAATGGAATCGAGATTAATATTTCTCGATCTAACATTCTTTAAGGAGAAATTGAATGAACTATTTAGTAAATGATCACAGAATGTCTGTATGTTTTTGCGAAATAGATAAACAGAGCTTTCAATCCGTCAGGACCATTGTTCTCGTAGGGTTACATTTTTTACATCAAGTTAAGTTACATTAAGCTTATTACTGACTCCATTTCCTTTTTTTATTTCAGGTAAGTCACCTAAACTGGTAGTAGTCGAGTTCAAGAGCTAATTTCATTAGAAATTTCTTCTCGCAGGTATTTATCATAATTCCTTGTTGTCCAGTGTTGTTCATTTTCTTTGGCCCGTGGACAAGCCTGGAGTATTTGGAACTATCGTAGCTGTAATAAATTACGTTTTCTTTGGCGAAAATCACGCCTTTAATATGCGTCGCATCTGCGAAAATTGAATAAAATATCTTGATATTCAATAATAAACAGTTATTCTCTACTGACTAGTATCCCTTTATATTACTGTACATTACTGTCCGTTTAAAGAAAACATAATTTATCACAGCGAAACCATTCACTATGTAACATATCCAAAGTATTCGTCCAGTTGATTACTTCCTTGAATTAATAGTTCCACTACAAACAAAAATAAGATCAACATCTATAAGATAAGGTTGTTTATTTATATAAACAGGGAGTGCAAGTCGCGAAAGAACTTTTGGGACAGTTTAATAGGTTGCGATTTATGTAGGTAACTGGTACGCATTAGACAACATTCCCCTAATAGGTCGAGCATTTCCCACGCGGTTCCAGGGTTCCTCCACGAAAGTAACCCCGTTAGCCTCGTTCGTGGGTCCTGGTTGGCGATCTCGCGTCGAACTTCAGGACAATCTGTCGATCCTAACAGAGTGCAAGAGAACTTATCAGTCGTCTTGCAAGCAGTTGCTATGCGTTATGGAAGGGGTCCCCGGAGTCACCTACTAGCTCGACCAGTCAGAAGTCAGTGTGTGGTAAGCCGGCCGGCCGCGCCGGCTCCTTTTCTGTCTTTGCTCCGTCGCACCTTCGAAAAATCGTGTCTCGTCTTCGCGTTCGATGCTACCACCGCATATCGATCGTGGAACTGGTCGATCGCTGGACAGAATCGCCTCTGTATCGGATAAACCGATTAAAAATCACAGAAATTAAGATCTCGCCCGAAATCGTCGAGCATCCGAGGTGTCCTACGATAAAGTTTCCGACGTCCATGACTTTCTCGAGAGAAGTGCTTCTTGCTGCCACGACGGAAATAATTGCTGGGTGATCAAAGGGAGCCCAGACGCGTACCTTCGCGTCGTATGGCATCGATAGCGACGAATGTGGGCAGAAAATTCTCGCTAACCGGGAGGAATCGACGTTCTTGCGCGAGAGGCAGAAACGTCTCCGAGCGGGAAGGAAGGGAACCGATATTGTGTTTTATTTCTGTTTGTAATCGACGAGAGTCCATTCGACGAAAAACAGATTGACGTAACAGTCGGATTATCGAGTTCCAAGTGAAACGACACGGTGATACTCAGGAGAGCTTAAGGAGATACTCGTAGCGACGACGCGTTTTAGATGGAAATTGGAGACACTGAGAGTGGATCAATTTTTGGAGCTCGGTGTGTGTTGCAATCTTTTTATACTCCTTTTTATACTCGGTGAGTTCGTCAGATTCGCGATTAGGAACGATAATAATAAATATATATAACTGAGAAAGCGATGGAGCTCGAAGAGAAGTAAAAGAGGAAAGATGAATTCTTCCAACGACACAAGAGTGATATTGTCGGCTGCGTACTGAGTGCTCGTTAGTTGTCGGCCGAATATCGATCTGGTCGATTCGAAGAAAGAATTGTTTCTTCGGGACGCGTACAAGAAGGCAATCGAGGAATCAAGGAGGGCACTCGCAAGGCGAATCTCAGCTCATTGAAAATGTGAGAACGAAGATGCGTGCATATCGAATGGTGTAGGAGGAACTTTTTTCAAGGGTAGTTCGGTTCTGGTCCCGTTTCGTTCAGGAAGAAAACATGATTATGACGCACACGGAAGAAGCGACGTCGACTTACGAGTCGAAAACACAGACGAAGCAGATGAACGGACACTCGATGGTGAATAAACAATCATTCTTTCAGTTAAAAATACAGAGTGGCCCGCAATGAGTGGTACAATATAACACAAATCGATTCTATGAATAAAAATGTACCTAAAAGGGGAAATAAGATTTCTTCCTGGAGGACTCTATTTTCGAGAAAATCGATGTCGAAGTTGGTGGGGGCTGGTGCTCATCTAAAACTGTGTTTATACAGAAAACACAAAGAGGAAAATAGTATTTCTGAATATAAATTACTTTTATATACTAGTTACTTAGGCATTTATACCCAGGTACATTGAATCGAGTTGCAGTAAGACGAGCGCGTGCTCCAAACAGGTTTCAAGATCAGTTTTCTCGAAAACAGGACATCCTACGAAAAGATTTTATTGTACGTTTTGGGTTCATTTTTGAACGTAGAGTCTTCTCCTTTTTTTTTATTATACCACTCATTACAGGACATCATGTTTATGCACGAACTTTTTCGTGTATTGTGACTTTTTTAAATGGCACAATGTGGAAAAGAATATTTTATAACGAATCTCGTGACTCGAATGCAATATCGCGAATTCCAAGGTTCGAGGAGCATGATGATTTGCATCATGCAGAAATGGGCAATAATTTTAGTCGAAAAATAAATAAAGAATTATAAAGCAACGTATGCATTACGAAAAATAAAGACAGTAACGTATATATTACGTTTACTGGACTGAACGGTTAAGTCTTCTCTTTGTTGTAAAATGTTTCTACAATGCAAATTCTAATCTTCTTAACGAATACCTGATAAAAAGCCGCTTTATCATTTATTCGTTGCGCGAAATTTGTATTTAGATAAGAGTTTAATATCTCTGGATGTATCTGCCGATACGGCGCCGTTCAGTCAGACGTAAAATATTCATGTTTTTTCGCAGTGAAACTACTCGTTCGAAAAATTTGTATTTCTGGCATAGGAATATCCATCGTTTGCAGAGGGCAAGAATATTATTATTTATTTCGTAAACTTGATTTCTGTTCAAAATGGCGACATTGACTCGAGCGCTTTTTGTCCTACTGATGTATCTTAAAATCTCCCAAACAAGCCCATCCTAACTCTCGTTATTATTTTAATGACATCCGCCTAAGCAGCGCTCGAGAAGATCATCATTACTTTAGGATCTTAAGGATTTAATGTTGGCTAATCCGAGTGCTCTGCAAGCATGTCACTAGCCTCTTTTTCGTAACCTGTTTTTCTTCAACAACCACATGCTCCTGAAGAACAGTTCACGTGCTCCTGTCTGTTTATCACTTGAATATTTATGCAAATACGTTGCTTCTCTTGCTCTCTTCGCGTGTCTGCCACACATGTACAATTACTGCTTATTGCTAGTGCAAAGATTTCCTTCAAAGGTTTCCCTTTTTCGCAGAGATCTTACCTACCCTCTTTTATTTGTCCAAGTCTTGAACTTGTGGCTTCTGAATGTACTCGACGCTTTCTGAAGTTTAGTCAAAGAAACAGTGTTTCAAACGTGACCAGGTTTAACCACGCGTTGCTTGTTGCCTGCTAAACAATGACGGGCAATAATTTAATTTGATGATAAATAGAAACATCGTATATAGCCAATCATTTGCTACGATTATCCAATCAAACACTTGCTCGGATTAGCTTTCCTCCATTCAACTTGCAATTTAATTTCATTTTATAATTCAAATTGCAATTTTTGTCGAGCAAGTCGCGGATCTGGAACTGTTTATCCTTTATACGTACGAAATTTTTATCTAGAAATTCCACCTACGCTTAGAATTAAAAAGGAATGCTTTAGATTAAGAGGCATTAAAGAGGAATTATTCCCCCATTTTCAAGACGCGACGATCAAACGAAATTCGTTCGATTTGTCAAGATTTCCATCGTGTAACATCTCAAACGCGAAGCGAATTCCTTAAAAATCGAACTCGTTGGCTTGGCTGATTTACATTGGCGCTGGTCGACTTATCGCGATATATCGAAAAAGCCGCAGATAAGTGCGTTATTTATTCTGAAATTAAAACACGTATCTAATAACACATTTATATTTAGTTCGCCCGGTATCGTATCACTCGTGACTTCCAGCGTTCTCTTCTCGTCGCGTCGCGACTCATCGATGCGCTAAACGTCTTATGCAAACGCCAATTATTCTGTTTATTTTTTTCCGCGCAATTCTTTGTTCGTCCACATTCCGGATTCGTGGTCCGTTTTTATTTTAATCGAAACGCGAGACGAAATTTTGTTGACAATTCCTCGAGTACAAGAACGCTTGAGGAATATTTATTATATCTTCTTTTTTTCGGGATAGAAGTATTCCTTATTTAGTTTGATATTCAAAAATGAGGAAACTCGTTTAAATTCTGTTTTATTGAACGATTATCTTTATTAATCGAGTTCGAGTTGAGTCAAATAATCACTGAGAAGGAGTCATTCAAAAATACAGAAGAGAATGATTTTCATCGGCTTGCGAACATAATATTTGTGATAAAACTGTTCCTCCCTTTTTTATTCACTGCACGCAAAAATTACTTTCAGCTAGAGTTATCTTCGGTTCTCTTAGTTTACACTAGAGAATAAAACTGCGGGATTGAAACTCCGTTGTAGAATGATCCCGATTAATCTTGGCATTCCAATTTGCTTTCTGGTGTTTGACTGTTCTCGTGCCACGCGTGATATCACGGTCGAGTAATTGATCGAGGGGGATTTTTCGATGGTGACTGTGGTCGGCCAGGTTATTCCCCTTACGGCTCGTGCCATGAATGAATTAACGTTCCACCGCAAAACGAAGGCCGAGCCGATAGTGTGCGTCTTCTTGAACACCTTGACACCGAAAATGTTCGTTCAGACGACCATTTCGGGGGACTGCATTCGGTGCAACCGTTTACACTCGACTGCATCGTGGCGACGAACAATGTACGGAATGATTTCGAAACTGGTACGAGCCTTGGCTATTTTCTAATCGATAAATGTTGTTATCGATTAGAAAAGAAAGGTGTAGAAATTAATTCCGTAGTTTTACATTCAGTCGATTATAACAGTAGTTTAAGTAAAAATATTTACTCATCATTCTAAGTTCTCAAACCGATCTCGTGTAGATTACAATGGGTCAAATGTCATTTAGTTATACTTGTGCTCTCCTGGAATATCCGATCGAGACAAAAATTAAAATCTGCATGATTTTTGCTTATAAATAAGCACTAGGTCTACCTCGGAAATGCACAGAATTAATTTCCACTCTTACTATTACAGTATTTAAATTATTCTGGAGAGATATCAACGAATCCAGAAATCAGGAAAGTAATATATAATCCTTCCACTTGCACAGTGAATCGATTCATGTAAAATGAACAGGTAGTCCCATTAAAGAAACAAGTGCTGCACACTGCACCTGCACGGTTGCGCTAAATAGAGGAACTAGTCATTGAAAAAGTGAACTTTATCGTTACCGTTCAACGAGTACTTTTCTTTTCGCGATGAAGTCACATTTGAAATTCGTTTAATGCATCCCCGCGCGATATTCCTGTCCCCTTATCGAATTCGCGGCAGTCGAAGCGCCCGTTCGATAACTGTATTCGATCGTTTAAAAATCCCGGTTCGACCGTTCCGAGGAAATTCAAATTTGCCCGAGATAAACACGAACGTTCAATTTCCTGGCCGCTAATAAAAATCAGTGCACGAATTGATAAAACTAGTTTCATTTCGCTGGACTCCGAATTCTCTCTTATCCGGCACGATTACGTATTCATAGAATTTTCCATACGGCTTGGCCGGTTATCGTGTTCCCCAACAGCTGACAATGAATGAACGAGTTTTCTTGGTTGCTTCAAGTGCAGCACTTTGTTAGAGATAGCCTCGCGGATTTATTGCCGAGCGGATGCAAGAACTGCCGATAACTCTGATAATATCCTTCCCCCGAGTCGGAACGACATTGTTAGCATTTCGCGTGACGGCGTGTGGGGTCTTCTGTTAATAATAATTCGTTAACCGTTTAGAGAGGATTGGAAGAAAGAGTGAATTAATAAATAGACTGGAGACGTTCGAGCAAATTCATACTTTCACCGATGATAAATTGGAATTTAAAGAAAAGTGTGCATATCCTCGTACGTTCTTCCATATTTCCACTTGCTATAAATGGACAAACATTCTATTAATAAGGCGTAATATTCGTCTGACTCGTCAGACCTGAGAGTTATTTATCTCCACCTTTTGACTAGTGGATTTGAAACATCTTCGTGACTTGCAATTATTATAGTCAAAGCTAGAATTTTTAATTTATATGTCCGGATATATAAAAGTAATTTTGATATAAAAGTCAACGTACACATCAATATCCATCAAGTGGCCAAAGATTTAATTTTCAATTAGTCGATCAATAAACAACGCATGTCTAGACCAACAAACATTAGTTTTCATTATTTTCAATTAAAACCGTCGTCGACGTGTATAATTGCGTTAAGCAGGCGAGTTGTCAGCTAATCGTCCACGCAACTTTATTCGTTTCGATTGAGTATGAAAAGTCGGGGGCGATAAGCTTGTTTATTGCTGGGTCGTTCGATTGGATATTAATAATTCCACATGATTCGTCTGAAAAAAAGAACTACATCGGAGGAAACGCCAATGCCAGTCCCATCGAAGCTTTCGTCTTCGTCGGTTCTTTTTGAATCCGGTGACGACTTTATTGCTGCATCGCCCTTGCATTCTCGTGAATACAAATTTCCTGAGAAATTGTATATTCTTATGCACCGTTTGTATCTTTCCTTTTATCCTCGTGACACCCGAGTCGACTCGTTTTTCTTGCGCAATGAAGTCGACGAAATCTCATTCCCAAACTCGATTTTGTTCGTCTCCACACGTAGATAAATGATTATCTGATTTCGCAGAAATTGAATGCGTAACCTAATCTTTTTCTTTCTGTTTGAAAATGTGCTTTATTATCTGACAGGTTTTAATCAGTTTCTATGGCGAGAGTTGAGTCCTCGATAAATTGCCTGGAAATTAATTTGCAGTGTTCGGTAACA